CATGCAGCAACACAATGACCCTCAACACACAAGTGGTTCTACCAAAGAATGTTCAAGAAGAATAAAGTTCATGTTTTGGAATGGTCAAGTCAAAGTCCTGACCTTAATCCAATCCAGATGTTGTGGAAGGACCAGAAGCAGCTGTTAATGTGAGGAAACCACCAACATCCAGAGATGAAGCTGTTCTGTACGGAGGAATGGACTAAAGTTCCTCCAAGGTGAGCAGGACTGATCATCAGTTACTGGAAATCTAAAAAAGTTCAATCTGGTCCTCTGGATATTAAAAAAAAACAAAAACAAAGCAAAACAAAAAAATGTAGATATGTTTCGTCTTTCATCCAAAAGACTTCCTCAGTCTGAGGTGCTGTATTCAGCTCAGTCTCTTACGCACCTCAGACTGAGGAAGTCTTTTGGATGAAAGACGAAACGTATCTACATTTTTTTGTTTTGCTTTGTTTTTTTTTAATGTCCAGAGGACCAGATTGAACTTTTTTTTTTAGATTTTTCTACCTGGATTATTGAGCATGCATCAGGATAGTTACTGGAAATGTTTAGTTGCAGTTATTGAAGCACAGGGGGTCACACCAGATACTGAAAGCAAAGATTCTCATACTTTTGTCATTCACAAATATGTAACATTGGATCATTTTCCTCAATAAATAAATGAGCAAGTATAATATTTTTGCCTCATTTGTTTAACTGGGTTCTCTTTATCTACTTTTAGGACTTGTGTGAAAATCTGATGATGTTTGAGGTCATATTAATACAGAAATGTAGAAAATTACAAACAGTTCACAAACTCTCAAGCACGACTATGTCGGTCTGTCTGTCTGTGACAGACAGACCGACGATAGACCTTCGTTTATTGCGGGGGTTCAGCTCCAAACCCATCCACAGTAAGTGAAATTCTGCAAGTAGCAACGTTATATGTGTTTTAGTATTTATGTCTTAAGGCGTTTTAAACCCTTCCCACATCCTTGCAATGTTCTTAAAAATGTTTCTAAACTCTAAATGCTCTAAAAGAGCACAGAATGTCATGATCTTCGCTCTCTGCCACCTGCTGCTCTCTGCCATCAGCTGATCTCTGCCACCTGCTGATCTCTGCCACCTGCTGCTCTCTGCCACCTGCCGCTCTCTGCCACCTGCCGCTCTCTGTCACCTGCTGATCTCTGCTACCTGCTGCTCTCTGTCACC